AAACGTGCACGAGGAACGCTACTTCCCATAGAGGGTCATCACGTTCCAGAATACTTCTAAATGTTCTGCGTAGCCATGTTGATACTGATTCACAAGAGAATTCAATGCAATCATATACAGAATGTTCTATCTATTTAAGTGGAGCTCGTAGCATAATGAAACCATAAAAACACTGACAGGTAATGAACACGTAAACACAATACACACGGGAAACGGTATGACAATAAGTTTCGCTATTATATACCGGCCTCGAAATGTAACGCACTTGGCCAAACAGGCCTGCCTTTCCTAAGAAATCCAAGGGAAACTTATGAAAACGTCTATGAATAACTATTACATCTGAAATAATCCTAAAAAATAAACGGTTCGGAACTTATCGTATAAAGACTCTGTCGGGAGATTCCTCGTATTGCTTTCAAAAGCTTATTTCCTTCCTTCGTGTTCGGTAGGATCTCTCGATTCCCTGCGTGACCTCGGTTACAATCAGGTTACCATGATAATTCGCCGATATCCATTTATACTCCCGGGTGGGGAGAGGCGCTGGGAGAGTGATGTGTCTTAACGAAGAACACAGCACAATGAACCAGCCAGGCCTCGAACCCAGAGTGTAGTGTGTTATCTGTTAGGTTGCTGTGGGTCCCATCAGAAAGGCGTAGATGTTCATAGATCTAGAATTGCCTTTGTTAAGCTCTCACTTTCTTTATCCTACCTTACAATACTTGTTCTTTATTTCAAGTTATTTTACATCTTTAAGAGGATTAACCAATACATGATTACGAGAGGGCCAGATTTATAAAGGATACAAAATAGGCACCATTCTCCCTCCTGCAGACTCGATAAACTTGGCGTACAACAGGGTAGCTTCTTAATAACTAAAACACAAGATCTGGTCTTGAGAAATTAAAAGACCTGCGGGTTGCACAACACAAACTGTTGGTTCTCAAGATAATATAAGAGACCGACCACGAATTCTTATTTTTTGCGGCTGTTTCTTTCTGCGGAAAATTATTTCTTCTACAAACAAAACAAAATTGTCAAGAATAACAATATATGGCAATGTTGGCAAGATTTTCGTCTGTTACAGAAAAGAATTAGATTCATACTACATTGTGGGTAACAACCAGAACTGTGGGTACATTTTCTTGAATTTAACTAGGATTTGAATTTGGAAATAGCCAGAGTCGATCATGATAGTGCTTGAAAATCTGAAGATGTGATGAGGACAATTTAAATGAGGTAGGCTGCGAGGGTCATCTCTTTTCGCCCTACGGGGTGTCACTGTATTCGTAACGTATTTACAACTGTAAACTAGTAAAATTAGTGTACAGACTAGAAAGACCATAGGGGCTTGCAAAGCTCTCTCTTGGTTTGTGACCTCCTCAATGTAAACAGATGTTGGTCGTCATGGAAAGCCTTCTCAGTCCTTACTAACATGATACGATTCTAATCATGCCATGCTACATAGGTGAGGGCAGCTAGTAGGATTTTGCGCGCTGAATTCAAACACAAGCTCCCCCAATTTGAATACGAGCGGAGCAGCTACGGAAGTAATACCAAGAACCTGGTGACTCAGTGAAGTGGCCGAGGGAATTTCTCTCTCTCTCTCTAGATTAAGGAAAATC